GATTCGACTACGGTATATTCTACCACAGTTAGAATGAGAAACCCCCAGGATACGATAGGTAAGTCTTTAGGCTTCTATATTAAGTCCGAAGTAGGGTTTCGGGGTTGAGGGGTTTCGACCTTAGGCTTTAGAGGATTCGGGGTTTAGGGGTTTAGGGGTTTCGGGGTTTAGGGGTTTAGAGGTTTTAGGGGTTGAGAGGTTCAGGGGTTTGGGGGTTTTAGGGGTTTCGGGGTTTAGGGGTGAAGGGCTTCGGGTTTGCTGGGGCAAAACTGGCTCTACCACTCCGAGCCAAGCAGCGGAACCCTGCAAGCACAAAAAAAAAACACCCAGAGAGCCCAATATCCCTTAAATAAGGAATATACCTTTAATATTAGGATTTAAGGTATATTCCTTGATTAAGGGGTATTAAGCTCTCTGTGCATCTCCAAACAAAACAACTCTGACACCCCTCCCTGCCACCCGAAACTCTCAAGCCTTACAGTAGCCCCAAGCCCAAACCCCTGACTCCTAAAAACCCTAAACCCCAGGACGAAAACACAAAGGCGCTTGGGATCGGCCTGGGGGTCCTGGGGGTGATCCAGTTCTCCGCTCATCGGACTCGCTCTCCCTCTCCTTATGCCGAGACTGCTCCTGAAGCCGAGGAGTTCAGAGATTTGGGCGCTTAGGGAGTCTGCCCCTAAACCCTAAACCCTAAACCCTAAACGGGCGAGGGTTTGGGGCGTGTAGGGTTCAAGCTTGGGAGTTCAGGTCTTATGGTCTTCAACAGCATGAAGAACCCCAATATGGGAACGAAATCCCCTAAATCCCGGAAGCCCTAAATCCACACCCTGAACCCTAATGAAGCCCCACGTCCTAAACCCCAAACCCTGGACCTAAACCCTGAAGCCCCTTAAGAAACTAGATCCTAAACCCTGAGCCCTAAACTGTTGGAGTGCGTCCCAGACAGCTCCTCGAGATTCTGCAGCTTTTGCAGCCTTTCCATCTCCATGACAATCTCCGCCTGCATAGGGTGAAGGGTTGTAGGGTTTACTAAACCGTGTACCCTAAACCATGCATTCGGAGACGGGTCACTGACATCAGGCTTTTGGGGAGTTTAGGTTTATTGTTGTTTAGCATTTAGGAGGAAAATTAAAAACAGATGCTCTTTGGGGTTTAGGGTTTAGTGTTGTTTGGGATTTAGGAGGGTTAGGGCATTTAGAGCTTGATGAGTAAGGGCTCGCAGGAAATTTCAAGGTTGGCATGGAGGTTGATTATTTTCGGTGGTTTTCAGGCTTTACGACTCTAGGGCTGTTAGGCCTTAGGGACAGGCTTGGGTCCGACGGAAGCATCTGCAGAATCTGAAGCTCCTGTTGCACTCCGGTGGCGAAACGGACAGCAGGGCTGCATCTTGTGACGGAAGTACTTCGCCAATGGGCCCAAAAGGTGAGTTGAGTATCGGATCTAGGCGATCTTATTTCGGGGACCTACTAGGTAGAATAGCGTTTCGGGCTCCCGTATACTATAATTAGAACAAGGAACCCTAAGGAATACTATTGGTAATGATTTAGGCTTCTATATTGCCGGATCTGGCCCTAAGGCTCAAAATAGCCTAATAACCTTTACATAGTAAGGTCTTTGGGCCCAAAAGCCTTAAACTATGAGTCCTTAGAGCGTTAGGGTAAGCGATCTAGGGTGGGGCCGGGCCTGCAGTCCCCTGTTTCCTTCCAGGCAAGCTAAGTCCTTCCATTCCACGCAAAACCCAGGCGGAAACAACAAAGAAAAGACAAGCACGCTTTGAAGCGAAACCAGAACCCCATCTCTCTCCTAAACCCTAAGCCCTAAGCCCAAAACCCCAAACCCAGCTCTTTCCTAATCCCTAAACCCTGAGCGCTTAACACTTAAGCCATGAAGCCCTAAACCACTCAACAACGCAACGAGCCTCGAAACGTTGTGCCTGTGCTCGCCGCTGATCCGACTCCAACTCGAGCAGGGCTTTGGGCGTGCTGGGTTTTAGGGTTTTGGGGTTTAAGAGTTAAGGGTCACGGGTTCGAGGCTTCAGGGTCAAGCGTCTAGGGCTGAGGGTTTTCGGATCTAGGAGGGCGCCTTAGGGCATAGGAACCAGAGAGACGTCCTTGCTGCACGGTGGGTCTTGACCTAACCCTACTTGGAGGATCATGGGACCTAGTAACTAGGCTTATAGTTATAATTAAGGTAACTATAACCCCAATTAGGGTATAACCTTACTTACTAAGTCCCATGATCCTCCAAGTAGACCCTAGACTCTCCCTAAACCCTAGACCCTAAAACCCTAAACCCTAAAACCCTGGGTCCTAGCTGACCCGGTTTTCGAGTCAGTCCACGATCTCCCGGTCCTGCCTCAAGCGAACAGAGAACTCGGATCCACCAGCAACACGCACCCCAAGGGTCCGAAGGATCCAATACTGGGGTACTTGGGCTCCGGATAGTAGTACTCCAGATTAATGTGTGGGAGAGTCTATGATTCTTCCCTAAACCCTAAACCTTAGGTACGTGGACAAAGCTTTTGGGAGGAGCAGCGTATTTGGCCTGCCTCAAGCAAGGTTTCCGCACAGTGTGATGGTGAGCTTCCAGAACACACGCGCATCGGCCACACTCAACTGGCAGACTGGAGGTTGTGTAGGCAAGCCTAATCCCTAAACCCTAATCCCCTGAGCCCTAAACCCTGAAACACCTAAACTCTAGACCCCTCAACCCCTAAACCCAAAGCCCCTAAACCCTAAACCCTAAACTTCCTAAACCCATTAACCCCAAACCCGCAGGGTCTGCTCGATTGCAGCTGTCAGGCAACCACGAGACATGTCCAGAATCAGATCTGCGATCGCAATTCTAAACCCTACAAAACCCTTGAAAAAGCCGTACACCAAAGCCCCGTGTCACTTCCCCATACTATATAAGGCTCGTTGCAAAAGTTTAAGTGTCATATACTCAAAACACTCATTTCTGATTCTTAGGGCTCCTATACTCAACCCTTCTAGTAGCCACTTTATAGAACCCTAAACCATAGACCTTAACCAATCTATGCGCAGCATTATATCTATCGCTATCTATCTATCTATCTATCTATCTATCTACCTATCTATATATATATATATAACTAACTAGCTAGCTAAATAAATAAATAAATAAATAAATAAATGAGTATATATGTATATATCCTTACACCCCAAACCCTATTATATCGAACCCTTATACTAGCCCCGTAGAAGCCTAAACCCTGAACCCTAAGCCTTTTATAGCAGTTTATACCCACCAAACCCTATTATACTGAACCCCCTAGGAGGAGCAGTTATAGTAGCCCTATAGAGTCCTAAACCCTGAACCCAAAGCCTTTTATAGCAGTTTATACCCACCAAACCCAATTATACTGAACCCTATAATAGTAGTTATGATAGCCCTATAGAGGCCTAAACCCTGAACCCTAAGCCTTTTACAGCAGTTTATACCCCCACCAAACCCTATTGTACACAACCCTATAATGGTAGTTATAGTAGCCCGGTTTTGAACCCTAAACCCTGAACCCTAAGCCTTTCATGGCATCATAATAACCCCACGAAGCCCTATTCCCACAGCCTTGTGGCGTCGGAGCTCGGCACCCAGAGACTCGACCTCCGAACCGAGGAATGCCTGGTCAGGCAGGGCTTGAAAGGGGGGTTTAGGGTAGGGCTTAGGATTTAGGGATTAAGAGGCTTAGGATTTATCGGGTTTAGGGTTTAGGGGTCTAGGGGCTTTGGGTTTAGAGGTTTAGGGTAGGGCTTAGGATTTGGGGCTCAAAAGGTTTAGGGATGTTCAGGGTGTAGGGGACAGGTTCTATGAGGGTTTTTCTGCGGGCTTGGGGGATTTTAGGACTCGGTTTGGTACAAGTTTCCTGAGGGTATTGTGTTGGGTTTTGAAAGGCACGGCTCATGCGCTTAGGGTTTCGGCTCAAGGTTTGGGGCTTAGCTGACGGTCTTCGGGTCAAAGGCAACTTGTCTCGTGGTTCATATTGGGCTACAGGTTCCCCCATACCCTTGACCTCAAACCCTATATACCCTAAATCCGAAAGTATCAACAACCAACGACGGGTTCTTAGAATAGCGCTCTTGAATTGTGGAAGGCGTTTGTTTTGGTCCTGTGGAGGTCTGGTGTATCTTTAAGTAACGATTCAGTTCAGGGGCCCTAAATCCTAAACCCTATAGGCCCTAAACCCTAAACCCTAAACCCTAAACCCTAGGCCCTAAACCCGATGCCCTGAACCTAAACCCTAATGATCCAGTTGAGGGTTCCCGAGGACGCCTCTGCAGAGTACGTTTCGAGGCCTTCGAGGCCCAAGAGCGCTGGTAGTAAAGCCTTCATACCCTCAGGGTCCATGCGCCGAACTATACGGTTTAGGGGTTTAGGGTTTAGGGTTTAGGGTTTAGGGTTTAGGGTTTAGGGGTTTAGGGTTTAGGGGTTTAGGGTTTAGGGCTATAGTATAAGGGTGCCTTGTAGTGTATTTGTTGAGGGTCCTATAAGTTACCATACGGGTTTTGGGTTTAGGGTTATAAGGGTCCATGTACCCGAATAGTATATACTTTGGCCCCAGGGTACCTATATAGGAACTACTTTGAGGCCAAACGATTTGGGTAATATAGGGGCCTGAATAATTAGAATAGGGTTTTAGGGCCCGTTATACTATAATCATAAGAAAGGAACCCCCACAATAATATTCGTAACTATTTGTGCTTCTATATCACATATTACATGGACCCTTAGGGATAAAGAAGCGCATGCACTCCCGATCTGCTACAACGGGGGCTCCGCGATGACTACAACATTACTTTAAATTTAACTCTACACAGCCTTTTCGGGGCCGTAGAATCCAGAAAACCCACTACGGGGATTCCTCAGCAAACAAACGGAGAAAACCGCAAGAAGCCCAGTTGCTACACTTTTGGAAAAATCGGGACAGCAACCTCCTATGTAGGCACCAATGTTTCTAGGAAAACTTAACCCTCAATCCATTCCTCCGTTGCTTCGTCGCTCTGTCGATGGAGCTTTACCTGCAGGGAAGCGGAGCTTAAGGTTTCAGGTGTGCGGGTTTGGGAAAGGGTTCTCTACTGTTCAGGGATTAGGGTTAGGGTAACTTTAGTGTTCACTTGGGACCGACATGGGCAGCATCATGGCTGCAGTGAGCTACATGAAGAAAGCCGCCATCTGTAGATGTACGTGTGCACCTGCATACACCGGCGTGTACACCTATGTATATTGTCGCATCTACATGCACGCACTCACCGCACGCAAACTCATGTCTAATGTGACACAGGCACAAGCGCACACGACGTGCGCACTATAGGGTTTAGGGGCTTTAGGGTTTTAGGGTTTAGGGTTTTGGGGTTTAGGTCTGTGCCATCCAAATTACTACCGAGGTGCAAGCAAGAGAGAGAGAGAGAGAGAGAGAGAGAGAGAGAGAGAGAGGGAGAGAGAGGGAGAGAGCGAGAGAGAGAGAGAGAGATGGAGAGAGAGTGCATGTGTGTGTGTGTGTGTGTGCGTTTGTGTGTGTGTGTGTGTTGGCATGTCTGTATGCTATAGAACCCGTCCAGGCTGAGATACACCCACATATTCACATGTGCATACAAACATACATGCCTACCTGCATGCAGCTAAACCCTGAGCTCTAAATAATTGAGTACAACCAATGCTACAGCGGTATGACTCAACCCTAAAACCCTGACAACCAAGCTTATGTGTCCTGTTATCCCACATGCCGGGCCTCATTCATGAAATCGTCAAACTCAGCGTGCTTCACGACCCCCAGATACTGGCGAAGGACTTCCTGTGAGTCAACTTAGGGCGGCTGTAAGCGTTAGCAGAGTTTACATAGGGCCTAATGGGTGAATGCCGAAGGGTCCAAAGGACCTAATAGTCATGTACTTGGATTACGGGTAGGAGGTTTGTAGGTGAGTCTTCAGAAGAGTATATGATTATTAGGTACGTGGACCCTTAGGGAATTGTAAACAAAACAACATAGGCGCAAGGAAAAGGTCAGGGTGACAGTGAAGTAGGGCCACCTTACACTGTTTTTGTTGGATCTACCGTGAAGGGTCTTCGTCCCTCCAAGTGCCTTCGGCAAGCCGAACATCCGACGACCGAGACTGAAACCATGAGTGTCTATGAACGACTTTCAACAGATCCCAGCCATGATAGAAGCCCACACGAATGACTGCTGACCTCACAGGCTTAAAAAATCCAACTCCTAATACCCCC